ACGCAAAGAGACTTCAACATGTTTAAATTATTTAAGTTTACATTTTCTAGCAAACGCATATAGCAAAATATCCGTAAGTAATCATACTGGTAATCGAACGGAACAGTTCAAATCAAAATAAAAGAAATAAAGTCTGCAGTTGTCTAAACAGAAAAGCACTCTAGAATTAGCGGGAACCACCCAAGCGAGTTGGTCCTAACTATGCGCCTTTAATTCTCGAAACTGCAAGTTTGTTGTATCGCCCCTCATTATCACAACCTCCCAAATCAAGCAAGTCCTACAGAGAAGAGTCGTTCGACGGTTTAGCGTGATTTTTTTAGTTTTAACTCAGCACCTAACGGCCATGAACAATAAACGGTTGTACCGATCGAAAATTGGGTTAATCACCTGAAAAACCGCATAATTCAACGCTTCCCTCGGTGCCCACCACCTGACCTCGCACCAGGATAGCGAGCGAATTGCAACCTTAAGTTGACTGAGTCACGGTCATGCTCATCGAATTTATAACCTGCAAAATCGAGCTTGACCATTTACGCTGTAACAACTGGGTACGTTCTCAACGCCGATTGAGGGCATCAGCAGATAGATGATATAAAGACGTTAAACCGTTATCTTAAATATTTAACACCCATCACTTTTCAACACACCTAAGTTGCAAACCTGGGTTCGCCACACTCCCTAGATTGACAGAATGGTAAAAATGGGTCTCCCCTCATTCCAAAAATGAAGGTCATGCGCTTCCTCTCTTGACATAAAGTATACAATACCGCTAGGGAAACCTTATAAGGAGATTTCACTAACAGAACAAAAGACGATAGTGTAGGCTAAAACATGACATAACCATACTGAGAGCACCATTGTCCCCAGCACTACTCAAAGACTGGAATTACGAGTGTGACCAAACAAAAATTCTCACCAGTCTCGCTGTCTTACTTGACTAATTGAGGGAAAAATCACAGTCCCGAGAAACCAACCAGATTCAAGGCATTCATAGAATCTTGGAAGATAACAAATGAACCATGAAGGCCATCCCTTCCAGTGTTTGGAACAATTTAACAAGTTTGGTTTGTGGTATACTGGTACTGGATGACTTTGCTGACCATACAACTTCTAACTTAAAGTCACGGGTGAAACCAAGACCTATGGGCAGCAGGTAATCTGTGCTCACCTCGTAAATCCATAGAAGTGGCCCAAAAATCACTGTCATCTTTAAAAAACGAAGTCCCACACCTTGAATAGTGAATTATCTCACTTTAAACAGAAATAAATGCCACAAAACTAAGGGTTTGGGAATCTTTGAAGTGGTTGAAAGTAGCTTTGGAAGTTAAAAGGGGTTTAAAGTCACAAATCCTGTATACAAAGTTTCCATATGAATTGAAGCAAAGCAATCTTGTCTGCCCATTCTATTCTACTATACATTTGTAAAATTTGGTAACGTATTGGCCTTTCCTTTATTTCTTTTGGTTAATTACATAGAACTGCCAAACATCAATCCAAACTATTGATGCAAATCCTTTTTATCATTTGCCAATCCATCTTCTTGTGAAGTGGAGAATTTTTTTTTAGGAAATGCATCTCCTCCAATAATGGCATAAGAAAAAGCAACAAAACTATGGTGCTATAATTTCAACAAATTAATAAAAAATTAAGCTTACCTTGCAATGCATCCATAGCAGTCGCTGCATGGGCCGGACTCAAAAAATCAACAAAACAAAGTATCAGCGGATCTCCTCCAGGCTGCACAGGTTAATTATTTGTGAATCCATCAATCACTAACAATTAAATCTATCCCTTGCGAAAGATAAACTTACATGTCTTGATTCCTTGCTCACAAGTCTCACTTCCTTGTAGCCAACGAAAGGGCGAAAGATATCTATGAAACCAAGTGAAGGGAAAATTCTAAAAAGGTAAAGTGCAAATAATGATAAAAAGGGAAATACAACTGCAACCCCTAAAAAAATTAAAGGATACGAGCTACTTCACGTCTAGTACAGTTGGGAGGCAATCCCTCCACAAATAGCGTACTGGTAGCACCAGGAGGAAGGGGAGCGTCAGGCCGTCCACTTCCCATTCCTAAGACCCTATCTTTAACAGGTTCCCCTGGGTCAACACTCCCAATTCCCATCATGCGTGGATCATCAACAGCACGACCAGGTGGTCCCCCACTCATGTTTCTAGCAGACTGCCCTCCGCTATATGATGAAATTTGCTGAAACATTACTTGTAACATTAGCCCACAAAACTTAAAACATATGGTAAAAAATTGTGAGAGTTCCGGAAAGAGAAAAGTAGGTACCGCACTGCGCAGGTAACGATCATACGACGCATTTATGGAGTCGGTATCTCTAATTCCTCGGATAGAACCTCTATCATCTTCTTGGGGATAATAGTTAGGGAGGTCGTGACCACCCTGGGCATCTAAAAGATTAAGGATGTACTTAAGGATACCAAAGGAGAATAAAGAAACAATATTTGAAGGCATATAATTATAAACAAGAGAATAATAAGTTAAACTGCTGACAACCAAACGACATCTCAATATATTGCATATGCTAACATGACCACTTGAATTTTCCTTTCGCATTTAATCCTAGCACCTTAGTAGTTTATATAGTAACTGTAGTGATCCTACATAGTAGCATATCTTCAAATAATTTCAATTAAAAAACTCATGTATAATACAATCTGTACACCTATCAAGGCTTACAGAACTCGGCATAAAAGGCTGATCCTTGAATCAAACTGGGCATTTATTAGAGATGAAATAATTATTAACAGCCTCCAGGGATGTTGACACTTTTAACATAAACTGCTAACGAATATGATCTAGGAGCCGGGACCAGCCAGCACGTAGCTTGCTGATATTACCAACAAGCGGGTGTCCAAAATATATAGACTACCACTCCTCATAAATGCAGTAAAACAGATCAAAAAATCTTCAAAAAAATGTGCATAACGAGATTAGTAATACTCATTTTAACTCTCATATGAATGCTTTGGACAAGGTTTACACTAAAAATCGCAGTAAATAACACCAAATAGAGCACAGAAATCTAACAAGAATGCAAATTTATCATATAATCTAGGCAATTATATCTCAGAAATAACCAGTAGAAGCAACAATTATACATATCCGAAAATCATAAAAATGCCTTAATAACTTAACCACGTACTACATCAAATAATGATTAAACCACATACATTATAGAGCAAAAGATCCCAAATTTCAATCCCTCGGCCCAGTGAAAACCTAGTTCGACTACTTGGAAGTCAGCTGAAAATTGAAATTCCCATTTTTTATTCACATTTCTTATCGTAGATTTTGCATTTTGTATTTGTACTTGAACAATTCTGCTTTCAGAGCAGCCAGTAAGAGACTAAGGTGGGGTGTAGTCAAACTAAAATCCCAAGAACCCTAATTTCATCAAGCCCCAAACAAACGCAAAAAGGAGAGAGGAAACCCAAAAAAGAACGGAAATTGGAGGAATTTAACATACCGTATTCGGAGCGAGGACGCTTTCCGACGACTGAATTCATCGCCGAGGCCGGCGGTTGTCGACCATCGCTGTACCTCCAATACGCGTCCGCCATGTTTGAGGCTTGTCGACCGTCACTAGCTGCTTGGTTTGTGGGCTCCACGGCGAGAGATATGAAGAGTGGAGAGAAAGGAAGAGCAGAGGAAGATGAACGCTTCTGGTTTTTCTCAGTAGAGAATGAGAGCAAGAGTGAGATGATAGGAGACCGGAGTGCGGACAATTTTTTTTTATTTTTTCCTCAAATTATTGATTTGTTAGATTAGATAATAAATTATAGCTTGAAGTGCTTATAGAGAAAATTAATGAAAATGTTTACAGAGGAAATGTTTTTAAGTTTTAAAAGTACTTGAAGTGCTTTCTGCAAGAAGTACCTGTTTGTACTTCTCTCATGAAACACTTTAAGTGCATTTTTAGGATCTACTCAGAATTAGTTCTAAAAATATTTTTAACAAAAACGTTTTCAATCATTTTAAAATTACATCTAAACGAGCTCTTAGTTAACTGAGGATCTTCGAACCCCTCCACTCCTCGATTCCCCCTTGTCTGGTTCCTTTTATTTTATTTTATATATTCTTAAAAATGTTAAAACCAATGGTACAATCAATGACTAAACAAATCTTATTTGATGAGTCGCGTAAGTGAAATATTCTCTCATGATTTACGCAAGTGATATTCTGTCAAAGTAGGTGGTATTGTATGCTAGTTCTTTGTATATTTTGGTGTTGCTTTTGTCTCAATTATTAGGACTTAATACCAACACAAGTATTGTTGCTATTAGCCATGAAGTAAAGTAAAGTAGAGGTAAGTATTGTTGCTATTAACTATATGAAGGAAAGTAGAGGAGTCCATGTAGTGCCTGCTAAGTTATTAATTGGTTGTGTCTTTTACGGCTGTGTGGTAGACTAGTTGAAATAGGTTGTGACAAATTAAAATGTAAAATGAGTTTGAGCTTATTTCTTCGTTGTTATGTCAAAATATGGAATAGAGAAGACTGAACATGATAGGTTATGAATCTCCAATATGGTAGATTATCTAATCTATCATTATACATGGGTTACAAGTTATGTCTTACATGTTTTTGACAATCAAATCTTATTCTTTAGGCTCATTCTCATTCAAACCATCAAACGAACTCTTATGGTGACGAAAACAATCGGTGGTTGGAAGAACATTTGCTATGTATCAAAGTAATTGCTTGTAATGTATAATTACGCGTCATTACGTCTCTCACTAGTATTGTTGTTGCCATCATACTCAAAAAATTTTAACGTGTTATCTATACATTTTCAGCATAATATTGATATTATTGACTTGGTTAACCACTTTTCTAACAATTATTTCTTACCTACTTGTCTAACAATTCTTTGTTACCAACTTGTCAAGTACTTTCCGTCTCGACGTAGATGATATGATTTCCATTATTCCACCGAATCATATTATTTTGAGTACTTTTCATCATTACTAGCCTTTGACTTTTCATCAACCTCATCCGCATTTTCCAGACTCCAAGTCTCCAATACTATTTCCAGTCAACTCTCCAAACTCTACAAAAATGCCTCCCTCTCTCCTTGTGATTCTTCAATCTTGGGAGCATAGTTTCTTGACTCTCCTCCATGTATGAAGATTTCAATTCTTCTTTTTTCCATTTTTATCCTCCATCTGTATATGTATATATCTATACACTTCAACAGGATCTGATTGTTATTTACTTGGTGTTGAAATCTTTCAGTTTAATGGCGGAATCGGGCGGCAACCCCTTCTTCAGCTGCAGAAGTTGCCGTAATCCTCTTGCTCTTCGTGACGACCTCATCTCCAAGAAATTTGTGGTGAAAACTGAAACACGAAAAATATATTATATTCTCTTATTTTCATTAATATTTAGGTTTGAGAACTAATTAAAATCAGCAATGTTATGAAATGGTGCTTGATCTATGTTGTTTTCTCTCCGGGCCTATTAGGATCTTGCTTAATTTATCTATAATTCCAGTGCTTCTTGAAATAAGCAGTTGGGAGTGCTTCGTGATGGTGCTTCTCCATGAAGCACTTTTATGGCCTAGAAGAACTTACAATTCGATTTTCGGATTTCGTTGTTTAGGGGAAAACTGGGCCGGCATATTTGTTCTCTCATGCAATGAACATCATTGTGGGACAAAAGGAGGACAGGAAGCTCATATCTGGTGTTTTCTCAGTTGCTGACATCTATTGCAGCAACTGCGGTGAGGTCTTAGGTTGGAAGTACCTTCGAGCTTATGAGCCGACACAGATGTACAAGCAAGGGATGTTCATAATCGAGAGGGCAAAGATTTCTAAGCAGTACTAATAATCCACCACGATGCATGACAAGATCGGGGTCGTGATCCCTTTGCTCTATAACTTCCGCTGTGTCACCCCCATCACAGCGCATTACCTACTACCGACAATAATTCGATTTTCGAAGGTCTACGATCATTTGTGGATAATATGTGCTTCTTCTTGTTGGTTCTCTGCATATGTTGCGCAGAAACTAATGTGTGTTATATTTCATATGCTTTATGCAGTGGATGATTTATCAATAAGAATAAGGTGATGTTTTATATCTGTAAAATAAGAGAAATGATAAAGAATGCATCAAAAGGAAAAGGAAAATCTTAAAGTTGGAAAGGGGAGATTTTCTGGTAATATATGGACTTCGGTTAATGAAAAAGAGTTTTAACGAAACATGGGTGCTGTTCCATTTTAATGAAAATGACATTTTTAGTTTAATGAAAATGACATTTTTAGTACTCTAAAAAGTCACTAATGGTACTATTTACTTATAATACTTTTTTATCCTTTTACTTAAACTTAAAATTTTCAAATATTTTTCCGTTAGTTTTTTTTTAATGAAATCCCCCATTCGTTATTAGAGTTCCTTGCTTTCCAACTTCTCTTATTTGCTTCCCGCATGTGGGTAATTGAGTTTTGACCCGTGCATACCGAATTCAAAACTCCACTTGATGATAATAATCTATTTTTATGCTTTGCTTTCCGCGAACGTCTCTAGATACAAGGCTAAAAAAAACCCAGGGGCATTATTGTCCGATTATTTGTGTGAGAATATCGGGAATCCTCTGATCACATACTTTCACAGTATATCATGCAGTCATAAATTATTATAAATTTTTTTATTTAAAATTAAATATAAATAATATCTAAAAAAATTAGTTGCACGATATACGATAAATGAATATGATTAAAAGATTTTCAGAACCCTCGCAAACAGATTCATGCGAGGATCCTCTCTTAAAAAAAAACATCTTTGGAGTAGTGCAACTATGTAACAAACGGTAGTTTTTTATATCAATTTGTCTTGTTACCATCAAAATGTATTTTCAACATTTCCTGCAAAATGTACTGTGTTATATTGTTGACTAGTTAAAACAATGGTTAAATTATTGACACACAAAAAGAATAATATAGACGGAAATGTCAGGATAGTAATACTCCAAACATTAAAAAACTACTTTATTTATTTTTTTTTTCCATTAAGTTCTCGATCAAACATAAATTCCCAGACACAATACAATTTTTGTAATTTGAGACATTATCGTCTTAATGTTCATCTTTCACATCATAATACTATTCATACATCATATTTTATCATTTCTAGATTGCTTTTAATTATTGGCCGTCCAATTAAATAAATTAAAATTAATAAAAAAGTTAACTAGAAGTTAAAAACAGATGTGTAGATAGCACCACTTATTTTATATAATTCTCCCGCCCCTGGAATAGCAGTTGACACACTTGGGATAGGACAAGGATTGTCCGTTCTTCACTTCCGGTGCCCTCCTGTTTTGTGTGGTCACGGTTAAACCACGTCAACATTTTATATTATTTTTTTATAAAGATAATAAGATAAAAATGAATAGTAATATAAAATGGTGACATGGTTTAATCGTGACCACAAAAATAGGAGGGCACGAGAATGACACCGGAAGTGGAGGGTAGACAATCGTTGTCCATTGGGATAAACTAGGGGAGATTTGGATCCTTGCCGAATCCCATGAGGATCTTAGAGATCAACTAATATGGATCGTTCGGTCTTAATTAAATATTTTTTGTGTTTTTAAAAATAAAACATCACTATTTTGCATGGAAAATATAAAAAAAAAAAAATTATAACCGTACGATTTAGAATCCCAAGAGAGGGAGGGATCGGCAAGCATCCAAATCCAACTAGGGGCTACCTTGTGACGTCCTTGTCCTACTATGTTAACAGTAGCACAACACCGCTAAGCTTGCGCGTGTTAAGCCACTCTGTCGGAGCGCGCGTAACTCTGCTCCCTGTGATTGAACCAAGTCCATCCTACTCAAAATATTGCAGAAAACTTTCTCTCCCTCTCTCTATGTCTCTCTCTCATAGAGTTTTTACATGAGCCTCAACCCTCAGAGCAACTCCAGCGTTGGAGCCCTCCCCCCTGGCAATACACTATTCAATCCACCTAATGAACAGTAATTGCCCTTAATGAACAGTAAGTAGCCCTGGCAATAGATTTTGCATCTCCACCGTTACACTTCTATAGCCCTGGCAATAGGCAATAAAATATTAGTATTTTTTTTATTTATAAAATTAATACAAAATAATTTTAAATGTAATATCGGATAAGATTTTTAATCGTTGTCGGTGCGCCACGTGTCATTATCCTAAGTATTATTAAATAATACAAAATAAATAATTATAATATGGATTTCTGATAAGATTATTAACCAATCACGTCGCGCCACGTGTCATAATCGGTTCACAATCTTTGAGGATAGATTTCCATCAGATTTTAAACGAATGACGGCATGCCACGTGTCATAATCTGTTAACAATCTTGGATGATAGATTTCCTTCAAATTTTTAACGAATGACGGCATGCCACGTGGCATTATGCAGAACCTAATCCTTTCTGAATCCTCTATATAATCCACCATCCATCTTCACAAATCTCACACCAAAATTCTCAAGATCTCTATCATTATTCATAATTTCTGCTTCCTTATTCACAAAAATCAGTTTCAATATTCATAGTTTCTGTTTCTTTCTTTCAATGTCTTCTTCTTCTTCCTCAAGGATGATGTGGGAATTGAATCAGGAAGAGGAAGACTTGTTTAACCAATCAGAATCAATGTTCAATCACCAGGGGGTAAGAAATGAGAGGGAAGAAGATGAGGAGCGTCAAATGAGAGATGACGACGTAAGAAGGGGCAGAGCCTCACATTCCCGTCGAGTCATCCAAGCTGCGGCTCAGATCTGCAGGCCCAGGCGTTCCGGAAACCTTGATAGAAGCAGGCAACGACGAGGTATGGAACTCTTGGATGATTATTTTGTTCCTAATAGTGCATTCCCTGATATGTACTTTAGACGTCGTTTTAGAATGGAACGACATTTGTTCAACAAAATCATGATTGCTGTTTGCAACCATGATTCTTATTTTGTGCAAAAAAAAGATGCTTTTGGTGCTATGGGTCTACTGCCGGAGCAAAAAATTACTGCTGCCTTGCGGATGCTTGCATATGGAGCATCTGCAGACCAAGTGGATGAGATAACGAGGATGGGGCAATCAACCATTCTTGAGTCCCTGATGAGGTTTTGCGGAGCAATCGAATCTATCTACACCGCTGAGTACCTCCGCAAACCCACACACATGGACTTGGAGCGGCTGTTGAAGAAGGCAGATATGCGTGGCTTTCCTAGGATGATTGGAAGCATTGATTGTATGCACTGGACGTGGAAAAACTGTCCAAGTGCATGGCAAGGCGCTTACGGGGACAGAAAAGGGGCAAAAAGTATCATTCTGGAGGCGGTGGCATCTTTTGATACATGGATTTGGCACGCCTTTTTCGGGGTCCCAGGAGCTCAAAATGACATCAACGTCCTTGCCCAATCCCCAGTGTTCAACGATGTCCTGCAAGGAAAGGCACCAAAAGTTACATATGAGGTCAACGGACGTATGTACGACGGGCTATACTACCTAGCTGACGGCATCTACCCGCGCTGGTCAACATTTGTCAAAACAGTGCCACGTCCGCGGAGTGCGAAGGAAAAACACTTTGCAAGCTGTCAAGAGGGGTGCAGGAAGGATGTGGAGCGTTGTTTTGGTATCCTCCAAGCTCGCTGGGCGATCGTCAGGGGTGCTGCCAGATTGTTTGATGTAGAGTCGCTTCGATCCATCATGATGACGTGCATCATTCTTCACAACATGATTGTGGAAGATGAGTACGATTATGAAGCTGTTGATGAATATGAGCCAGACCCGATGAACAATTCAAGAACACGTATATATTGTGCTCATGACGCCACCGATGACCCCGTGCAACATGAGCCATTACAAAGGGATGGACGTTACAATGAAAGGCTCATTCAACGATATACTGCATTTCAAATGCCAGACATCCACAATGCCCGACAAATTGACTTGATAGAGCACCAGTGGGCATTGAAACAAGCTGAAGATAATTAAGTTCATTTTAGTGTGTTATTTTGAATTTGGTATGTTTATGTTATTTTATTTGGTGTGTTTTATTATTTGGTATGTTTATGTAATTTTTTTATGTTTATGTTTATGTAATTCTTAGTATATGTAATTCTTAGTATGTTTATGTAATTCTTAGTATATGTAATCTATGTAAAGGACTTTTAATTAGAACGATGGACTTTTAATGGACTTTTAACAACATAAATAACTTACCAAATTAATTTGAATAAATATTCATGAACATGGAAACAACATAAATAATACAAACAATAAATAATAAATTACAACCCAAAGTGATTGGAAAATTATGGGCTCCGATTACAAAAAGTACTCTATTCATCATCACTTAACCAATTTGTGCTGCTAGGATGATCTTCTCTTGCGGTGCTAGAACCACCTTGGCTTGCTATTGTTTCTCTTGCACACCTCCTTCGCACCACGTCCGCTTTCTCTAACTTCCAAAAAAATTTAGAATTTGGAGACTTCCCTTCTAAAGACATGTTCATAATCTCACGATCTTGTTGAGCTCGTCTTTCTTCTCTAACATGTTCCCTTTCTTGCCTAAGTAGCTCTCTTTCTCTCTCATTAGCATAAAATTCTCTCTCAACAGCTGCTGCTTTTGATGCCTTATCAGCCTTATCAGCCTCATCTTTCGCCAGTTCCCTCACCAAAGTCAATTCACCTTGGCGAGTAAGTTCTTCCATGAACTTTGCATAATCGTTCTTGGAAGCACTCCCTTTTCTCTTTGTAGCCTTCTTACCTTGAGGCCTAATTGGAAAACGGGTCGAACCCGACGCTTGTTCAGGGAGGGGCGTTTCGGGCACTTCTTCTGCATCATCTTCATGAACATGATCGGGTGTAGAGTGTAGAGGGGTGCTGTTCATGTGCACTTCTGGACCAACTGGCACAACTCTAAATTTAGGACAATCTTTGACAATATTCCAACATTCCCACCGGTTGAATGATTTATTTTTGCTTTTGGTTTTGGCAGCATACCAAGCTTGTGCTTGAAGTTCCTACACAATAAAAATAAGTAACAAATAAATAATACAAATAAATAATTATAATGAAAATAAGTAACTAGCAAATATAT